CACCTCCCTCTCCACCCGATCCCTCTGGGTCTTCCCAGTGCACCAGGCCCGGGCACTTGTCTCATGTATGGAACCACATTCTCAGTTTACGGATAAGAAGTTGAGTCTCTGAGAGGTTAAGTGACATGCAAGCGTGGGCTCTGTTTCCTTTCCTTTTTTTGTCCATGCTGTGAAGCTTGTGGGATCTTAGCTCCCCAACCAGGGACTGAACCCAGGTCCTCTGTAGTGGAATGGTGGAGTTCTAACCATTGAACTACCAGGGGATTCTAGCAGACTCTGTTTTCTGACTGATCAGCATTTGAATGCCTGCTGGTTACGGACATAGTACTTAATTTCGATACACAGAAAATGAAAATAATAGTACCTACACCTTTGAATTTTTGTGAGGATTCATTGATTTAGTACATAAAAGGCACTTAGAACAGTGTCTGGGTTGTAGCTAGTGTAATGCTAGTCCTGTTATAGACCTGCCATTAACTAGACTAAAACCACAGCAAGATCAGGACTAGAATTCTAGTCTCTTGACTACTAGTTCAATAGTTTCTTTTTTGAGTCTGCATAGCAACCAAATTTTACCTTCCAATGTCCAATGTGGATATTTAGTATGTGACCTGCTCACGTTGGAAGTTCTTGTAGTTTCTGTGACACTATCGACACTGCAGAGCTTGTTGTGGCTCATTACTCCTTGTACTGTTCAAGGCAGGTTTCCCACAGAAATTATTACCCCTACAAGCTCCTCAAGCCTCCAGATAGAAAATCCTGCAGCCCACACTTGGGAGACGACGTCACTGTTGACGGACAGTAAGCCTTCTAATGAGTTCCCTGCTTGAATCTCCAGTGCACGGTTAGACACCTACACTCAGTTACCCCGCGTCTGACTCAAGACGAACTGAAGTAAGCCCATCAGCTCCTTTCCTGGCTCCTTCTCCTGATCTCTCCACTTTGGTCAATGCTTGTGTCAACTGTCAGCATGCCTAGGGGCAGTTACTTCTGACTCCTCTCTCTTCTTCACTACCAAGTCCAGGAGTCATGGCCTCTCAAGTTCATTGCTTCTCTTCCTTTTCTGCTTCCTTCCTCTTGGCTCCTGCCCCTAAACAGCTCAGGTGGGCATGGATCCAGAAGCTCCTAACCTGGGTCCTGGACTCCAATTTCATTCTGTTGACATTCACCTTGCCCTTTATTCATAGATAACATCATGCCTTGAAAAACCTTGGTTACGTTCCAGAGGTTTGTATTGCCTTCAGCATAAACTTAAAGTCCTCAGCCTTGCATGTCCCAATATACCTCCCTGACCTTTTCTCTCACTCCTTTCTCATAGGAATTTGTTTTTTTAGGCATGGGTGTCTCTGTCCCTTGGTATTAGGACACATTTTCTGCTTTTCCATCATTGAGCTTACCACTGTACTGGTCTGCCTTGGGCCCTATGGTAGGGCTCTTATTCTACCAGAATTAAGGTATCAACAAAGCTCTCAGCCCATGATAAATAGGGCAAAGAGGCTTTTATGTGTGTGTTAGTTGCTCAGTCACATCCGGCTCTTTATGACCCCATGGCCTATATATAGCCCACCAGGCTCCTCTGTCCGTGGGATTTTCCATGCAAGAATACTGGAGTGGGTTGCCATGCCCTTCTCCAGGGGATCTTCCTGACTCAGGGATCGAATCCAGGTATTGGCCATTACTCAAAACAAAATCCACTTCCTTCACTACCGTGAACGAGCAGAGGTTATCTGGAGAACTTATACACATCAGCCACATAAAATGAGAGAAGAATCTACTATAATTTTTTTAATATGAAAAGAAATGTGATAAACAGGTGATTTGGGATAATGGCTGAATGGGAACAAGGGGGACTCAAGAATGATTTTGCATTATCACCTTGATGATCTTCTAAGTCTGTGTTGTCCAATATCTTAGCCACGTGGTATTTTTAGTTTCAATTAAATGAAGTTAATTAATTAGTGAAATTCAGTTTCATTAGCCACATTTCAAGTGCTTAATAGTCACATATGGCTGTTAATATTTTGGACAACACATACGCAGATCAATCTATCATCCCAGAAAATTCTGTTGGACTGCACTGGTCTAGATTTTTCATTTGCTTCTCTAAGTCATCTACCCCTGATCTACTGCTTTCCAGTTTCTAAAGTATAACTGCTCTAGTCTCTTCTCTTGTTCTCCCTTTTCTCATGTATTATATTTAAAAAAAATAATTTACTGTTGTTTTAGTGAAGTTTGGAGGGGGATAAAGAATACAGGTATATGTCTAATCCATTATTTTTCCTAAAATCCTTTGCTTTTCTCTCCCTCAGTGTGATCTTGCTTTTGGGCTCACATTCTGAGTAATCACAGTCACTTCAGGGGTCCCTCTGGCTTGGGCTGGCCTCTGAATTCCAGCTTGCTTCCATAAAGCCATAGCATCAGCTGGGGATGCTGGGGATGGGAGGGAGGTGGCGCAGTGGGGACATTTCTGGTTGTTTGTCACACAGTCACATGGGCATCCATGGTAAGTTCTCATCATTCATCTGGCCCTACAGCTATCATGTCTGCAATCTGCCCATCCCCAATGGAGGTTTTTTCACCAGGTTTGCAGGCTCTGGGCAGCATGCTGGTACCTAAGCAGACTTCACAAGGCAGCCTTTAGGACGGTCCACCCAGGCATTCCACTTGGTTGGTTTTCCTCCTGCTCCTCAGGTTCTACACGGGGGTTAGGGCACAGGCCTCATCTACTCAGGGCTCCCCTAATCTGTCTGGCGCCATCCTCTTTCCCTCCACAGAGATTCCATCCACTGAGTCTATTGTTGATATGTCAATATGATGCCCTAAGTCATTTGGTAGTGGCTTAGTTGCTAAGTTGTATTCAACTCTTGCAACCTCATGGACTGTAGCCCACCAGCCTCCTCTATCCATGGATTTTCCAGAGAAGAATACTGGAGTGGGTTGCCATTTCCTTCTCCAGTGGATCTTTCCAACCCAGGGATCGAACCCGGGTCTCCTGCATTGCAGGCAGATTCTTTACCACTGAGCCACTTGGCTCAGTGACCGAGCTGCCAGTCATTTAGGGTTCTGGATTCTGAAGGGTAAAAGCTCAGGTTATGGAATGTCAAAATTCATTTCTCTAAAACTATGATTTCTACCAAGACTTTCTAAAGATTCTTTAGTAACTCAAAAGCTGGGAGATGTGGTTTTGCTCTGATTTCCCACAAAGATAGTCTTAGGTCCTGAAGGTAGAAGACCCCACTTGCAATCTGGGTGGAGTGAAGTGGGAGGGTCATGAGGTACTTGCATCACTAGGAAGCCTTAGGATAAACTTTCTTGCTCTGTTAATTATCTTCTCATGTATAGAAGATTTGCCTTTTCACCTGGATGTTCAGTTTGTTAAGAACAGAACCACACAAGTTTTTTTTGGAAAGAACATTTTCTTACTGTTATAAGTGTGTCCAGCATCTAAGAATCGCTTCACGGATGTGTTGAAGACCTTTAACTTTGTAGCTTCATGGTACATGCCAGTGCCTGGAATACAGTAAACATTTAAATCATTAATAAATCTTCTGAACATATTTTGGAATAGTTCCCCCTAAAAGAAATAAACATTGAGAACATTGGTGGTTGTGGTTGAGTCACTAAGGCATGCCTAGCTCTTTTCGAGCCCATGGACTGTAGCCCATCAGACTCTTCTGTCCATGAGATTTCCCAGCAAGAATACTGGAGTGGGTTGCCATTTCCTTTTCCAGGGGATCTTCTCATCCCAGGAATATTCCTGCATTGGCAGGTGTATTCTTTGCCGCTTGAGCCACTTGGGAAGCCCCGAGCCTATCCTGCTGCTGCTGCTGCTGCTAAGTCGCTTCAGTCGTGTCCGACTCTGTGCGACCCCATAGACGGCAGCCCACCAGGCTCCCCCATCCCTGGGATTCTCCAGGCAAGAACACTGGAGTGGGTTGCCATTTCCTTCTCCAATGCATGAAAGTGAAAGGTGAAAGCGAAGTCGCTCAGTCATGTCTCACTCTTAGTGACCCCATGGACTGCAGCCTACAGGCTCCTCCATCCATGGGAGTTTCCAGGCAAGAGTACTATTCTAGTCACCTTAGAATCCAGTGACAACTGCTGACAGTGGGAGGGGGCGGGTGCAGGCAGAGGAAAAGCTCACAGTAAGAAAAGTTCCCTGGTAACTGGGGTAGAGGTGAACACGTCAGTCAGACACAGGAACATTTCCAGGACATACAGTAAAAACTAGGACGGAGAGAGCAAGAAAGCCATCCTGGGCAGCAAAGGGAGATGAAGGCTTCATGGTCCTTAATGACAGGTTGACAGTGAATTAATTTCATACCCTGCCACTGCTGTTCATTATTTCATTCAAGTTAAGGATCCTTTGATTTCCTCCTCAAGGCAGACAACTGCGCTAGCTCCCAAGAATAAAATACGATGATGAGCAAGATATAGCTCTCATTTTCAGTAGAATCTGCCACCAATTCTCTCATTTTTCCATAACCCACTAGTGATGCTGCTTCCACAGTTTGCAGCTACTCAATCACTCTCCATTTCCTTCAAGCAGAAGGCAGATGCCCTTGCCCGACTCCCAAGGCCCTTTAGGATTCAACTTCAGTCAATATCCCCAGACCTCTCTGCTTAGGCTCAGTGTCTTATATATGCCATGTAAGGCCATCTCATCAATTTCTTATAACTCTGTGACTAGGGATGGAACTCCTAGGCTTCAGTTTATCTGAAATGCCACCTTCTCTGGGACATAGCCTGTCATCTCTCCTCCTTCACCCCAGGTTGTTACTCAGAAAGTTGTTGAAGGAGGGAACTGTGTCCATTTCATCTTTATACCTCCAGCACACGCCAGCACTCTGGTACCACAGCAGGCACAGAATGAGTAAGAGCTTGGGGAATGAATGAAATCAACTTATTTATTGCCCTTTACTTTTTTGATAGCACAGCTGTCCATTTGTGAGACTCCAATCTTCTTGTCCCCCATTGTAACTCACACACTCTCTTTCCAGAATGCTGTCAGAAGGCTATCTCAGTGGACTTGCGTACCGGAATGACATCCAGTGGAATTATCCATCTTCTAATGAGCAAGTGGCTGAGGAAAAGGAAGAGGAGATGGAAGCCACAGCAGCTGACAGTCTTTCCTATTCCTCCGTGGATGAAACACAAGTCCAAAATCTCTATGTGAGCTGCAAATCCTCTGGCAAGATCATTTCTTCAGTGTATTCAAGAGAGAGCCAACATAGTAGAAATCCGAGAATCACGGTGCTGCAAACAAACCCCAATCCTGTGTATGAAAGCCCAAACTTGGCCGCAGTTGAACTATACAGAGACACCAGCAAAGAGACCTACTTGGTCCCACCTTCCTGCAAGAGTATCTGCAAGAATTACAATGACTTACAGATTGCAGGGGGCCAGGTGATGGCCATTAATTCAGTGACAACAGATTTCCCCTCTGAGGGCAGTTTTCAATATGGTCCTTTGCTGAAATCATCTGAGATTCCTTTGTCCATGGAGGATTCCATGTCCACCCAGCCCAGCGACTTGCCACCCACCCCTATCCAGCGGTATTCATCCTACTGGAGAATAACCAGCATCAAAGAGAAAAACAGCCTGCAAATGCAGAAGCCTATTTCCAATGCGGTACTGAATGAATACCTGGAGCAGAAGCTGGTGGAGTTGTATAAGCAGTACTTTATGGACACTGGGTTTCATGACAGTTCACCTACCCAGATTCTGGCATCTGAACTCATCATGACAAACGTGGACCAAATCAGTATTCAAGTCTCTATAGAGAAGAACCTGGAGATCTCGAAAGCCAGGGATATCGTCATTAACCGCCTATTACAGTATGGGTCAACCGAAATCAGCACACCGAGTCTCCATATTTCTCAGTATAGCAACGTGAATCCATAGAGAGGGTGCTTCCACTGCTCTTTCTCAACTACTCAAATCCTAAGCAACAAGTATTCATTTATTCTGAGAATGTGCAGGAAGGGGTTGGCAAGGGGTAGAGAAGAAAAGGTTGGTTGCAGGTCAGGTATGGATTAAGAGGAAATCTCATAATATTACACGTGAAGGAATGTGGGGAGAGGAGCTATAATGACTTCCAAGTGAGGGCTGTACAGCAACAAAGCAAAAATAAAAATGATCAAAAAAGATGGTATGATTCATATAAGGGAATACAGAAAAGGAAAAAGAAGACAAACCAAGTTAAGGATGCATACAATGTATGGAGAGTCCTTAAAAAACCACCATATGACTCAGCAATCCCACTCCTAGGCAAGTTCCCTGAGTAAACCAAAATTTAAAAAGACACACACATCCCACTCTTCATTGCAACACTATTTACAATAGCTAGAACATGGAAGCAACCTAGATGTCCATTGACAGATGAATAGATAAAGAAGTTGTGGTACATATACACAATGGAATATTACTCAGCCATAAAAAGGAACACATTTGAGTCGGTTCTAATGAGGTAGATGAACCTACAGCCTATTATACAGAGTGAAGTAAGTCAGAAAGAAAAAGATAAATATCATATATTAACACATATATATGGAATCTATAAAGATGGTACCAAAGAATTTATCTGCAGGGCAGCAATGGAAAAACAGACATAGAGAATAGACTTATGGACATGGGAAGAGGGGAGATGAGGGTGAGATGTATGGAGAGAGTAACATGGAAACTTCCATTACCATATGTGAAATAGATAGCCAATGGGAATTTGCTGTAGGAAATGCAAACAGGGGCTCTGTATCAACCTAGAGGCATGGGATGGGGAGGGAGATGGGAGGGAGGTTCAAGAGGGAGGGGACATATGTATACCTATGGCTGATTCATGTTGATATTCGGTAGAAAACAACAAAATTCTGTAAAGAAATTATCCTTCAATTAAAATAAATAAATAAATTTAAAAAAGAAGAATGCACACCATGGCAAAACTAAAAGCCAAAAGTTTCAGGGTAGGGAGTTAAGCATCTGTTTGTCACCCAAGTAAAATCCTCCGAGTTGTTTCTTTTTGAAGGAAATGGACCACTGAAGGCTGCTACATTTGGGTAGAAAGACAGGTTCAAACAGCTTTCAAAAAATACATTTGTATCTATTTTCCCTATCCTGTGGCAGATCATTTAAAAATATATTCTTTATAAAGATGAAAATAGTAGCAAATTGCCATTGTGCTTTTATTTTTTTTAATGATTACTTAGCTACAACCTCAAATATAGCCACTCAAATCTGATTCTGTTTACTGGGAGGATGAAGTTCTCTGAAAGGGAAAATACCACATATTGAACATTAAACTACTACTGCTTTATTTTGCCGTGTTTGATTTTCTTGGTGGTACTAAGCTTGAAAAGGAATTATGCATCTTATTTTTCCCATTTTTCTCTTCTTTTTCGACATGCTCTCTTGTCCCTTCTGGAGTCAGGAAGGGGTCTTCTGTATTCTCTTACAAGCTCTAGGATATCATGGTGTCAAATTCTGTAAATTCATGCCCTAGAATGGTAGCTTCATGAGAGTCTCACTGCTCCACTTAATTTCTCTAATTCAAGGACTTGCAAATGATGACTCATTGGCCAAATCTAGCCTGCCACCTGTTTCTTCTACTGAGAGGGTTTCCCCGGTGGCTCAGTGGTAAAGAATCTGTTTATCAATGCAGGAGACACGAGTTCAATCCTTGAGCTGGGAAGATCCCCTGGAGGAAGGCATGGCAACCCACTCCAGAATTCTTGCCTGGAGAATCCCACTGGACAGAGGATCCTGGTGGGCTATAGTCCATGGGGTCACAAAGAGTTAGACACAATGTATCAATTAAACAACAGCACCAACAACAATCTGCATATAATACATTAGTTTCACATGTACAACATGATTTGCTATTTGCATATTATGAAACAACGACCACAATACACCTAGTTACATCCTTTGAACTCCTATGAGCTAAGAATTTTTTCAGCCATTTTAAAATAAAAGGAAGAATATTTTATGACATGAGAATTATGATATTCTAATTCAGTGTCCATTAAACAAGGCTTCATTGGAGCAAAGCCATATCTATTCATTTCTGTATTCTTTACAGCTGCTTTCACACTAGAAAGGCAAAGCTCAGTAAATGTCATGGAGAACATATGGCCAACAGAAGCCAAAAACACTATCTTTCCTTCCACAAAAGGTTTGCCTACCCGGCTCCACAGCAGTGCCCTGACCATACAATGGGTGATTGAGTTAATTCAGCCGCCTTGAGGAGGGTGACTGTGAGAGGGAGACTGGTGAGTTTATGGGGGCCTGTTGGGAACCTCTGTGAGGGAATGATGAAAGCCAAAGAGGTTTCCATAGATGCCTCAGCCACTTAAGGGAGCTCTTTGGTTGGGGTGGGCCTTCGGCAAAAACCATCACAATATTGTAAAGTAATTATCCTCCAATTAAAATAAATGTGCTGTGCTTAATCACTCAGTCATGTCTGACTCTTTGCAACCCCATGGACTGTAGCTCGCCAGGCTCCTCTGTCCATGGGATTTCCCAGGTAAGAATACTAGAGTGGGTAGCCATTCCCTTCTCCAGGGGATCTTCCCAATGCAGGGATTGAACCCAGGTCTCCCACATTCCAGGTGGATTCTTTACCAGCTGAGCTACCAGGGAACAAAATAAATAAATAAAGTTAAAAAATTGAGGGAGGTTCAAGAGGGAGGGGACATGTATATGTCTGATATATATACATATATGGCTGATTCACGTTGAGGTTTGACAGAAAAGGACAAAATTCTGTAAACCAATTATCCCTCAATTAAAAATAAGTAAATTTTAAAAAATAAACAAACAACAAGGATCTACTGTATAGCAGAAGAAACTCTACTCAATATTCTGTAATAACCTATATGAAAAGAACCTGAAAATGGAATGGATATATGTATATGTATACCCGAATCACTTTGCTGTATATTTAAACTAAAACAACATTGTAAATCAACTATACTCCAATATAAAATAAAATTTTTTCAAAAACTAAAAAAAAAAAAAAAAAAAAAAATTGTTCCAAATTGAAATGAGAGGGTTGGCTTTGGTTCTCCCACTTGACCAGCAGGGGGCGCAACGGTAGCTGAAGTAATTCAGAGTCAAATTTCTCAAGGGGAAATCAGCTGGCAGCCTTCAGAAGCCAAACTCCTGGCAGCTCCTGGGAGAATGAGTTCCTCAACCAGGAGGAGGAATATGAAGCATAACAGCATCCTCTGTATTTTCCCAGTATTTGTAGAGTGAATTTTCTTTTTTAACAACATGTGGTATCATGTAAAAAATCTGGTTTTGAAATATTAATTCAGAAATGTTATCCACTGTTTTAAATAAATAATAGCCACTCTGCATTAATTAGGCTTCCCTCCTGGTGCAGTGGTAAAGAATCCACCCGCCAATGTGGGATACCTGGGTTCAATCCCTGGGGTGGGAAGATCCCCTGGAGAAGGGAATGGCTACCCACTCCAGTATTCTGGCCTGGAGAATTCCATGGAGAGAGGAGCCCGGTGGGCTAGTCCATAGGGTCGCAAGAGTCACAAATGACTTAGCGACTAAACAACAACAATGCATTAATTGCTTGCCATGGTGCCTGGCACCATGTTAGGCATTTTCTATGAATTTTATATAATTATCACAATAACCTCATGAGAGAGTATGCCTATTATTCCTCCACCCCTGCCTTTTTTTTTTAAACACGGAGGAGCAAGCTGGGCTCAGAGCAGGTAAGTAATTTGTCCAAGGGCACACAGGCGGTAGTGGAACCAGATTTGAATATATTTCCATTTAAATGTAAAGTCCTGGTTCTTTTTTTTTTCCAATAAATTATTTCTTTTTATTTGACTGAATTAGGTCTTTATTGTGGCACGTGGGATCTTTTGTTGTGGTGTGAAGGCTCAGTAGTTGTGGTGCCCCAGCTTAGTTGCCCCATGGCATGTGGGATCCCAGTTCCCCAACCAAGGATCGAACTCATGTCCCCTGCATTGTGGACCAACAGGGAAGTCCCTAAAGTACTGGTTCTTAACTACTACCACCTATTCTTTTGTGGACCACCATCAGTTCAGTTCAGTCGCTCAGTCGTGTCTGACTCTGCAACCCCATGGACTGCAGCACGCCAGGCCTCCCTGTCCATCACCAACTCCCAGAATTTACTCAAGCTCATGTCATACCACTATCTGTCTCATTAAAGACTGGTTTTCTACTCCAAGGAAAAAATACCTTCTTTACCATTATGTTCTTTTCTTTATAGTGTTCTGTTTTGTAGTATTTACTTGCCCGTCTTCCTGCCTACAAATTGGAACTTTTGATTTATTCATTTGCTCCTCCATGTTCCAAGCAATACCTGCACACAGTTGGTAGCTGATTCATACATGTCAAGAGATAAACAAATTTTGCTGTGTTGGATACCATGTCTGATGGCTGAATCGAAAGATCCATCAGTCTGAAAACTAGGTAATTCTGACTAGAAAAAAGTGCTATTCAGAGTTTCTCCTCAAGAAGAAAATTGAATAAGTGAGCTTAATTTCTTATAGCAGCTTAGTAAATGGTATAATAAAAACATGTTATAGTAATATTGCACATGTTTACCCTTTTGATAATTTGAGAAGTGACTTGTTACAAAGCAGACTGGTTCATTCTTTTTCAAATGAGCATTTATTTGATGCTGCTTTGGGGGAGCACTGTGTACTGATATGAAACATGCAGGGAAGACACGTGTGTGCATGTGTACAAACACAGAGGATTTGACCCCTTCTCTGTCACCTTGTTATCCTGGAGGGACCTGGCAAACAAGTAAGGAACAAGTAACAAAGCTGCTTGCTTAAGCAAGAACTTGGCAAAGTGGTACCAACAGGAAGGAATAGAGCAATCAATGATTCCAACTCAAGTGTGGTAAGTGCTGCAAAGGAGATGTGCTCAGGAGTGCTGGACAGTGGAGGGGCCCAGGGCCAAAGACTCCAAAGGGGAAGTGATGGTTTAAATTACTTTTGAAGAACGAGATAGGGTTGAGGTAGATGGATAGAAGGGGTGTTCTAAGCGGAGGTATGAAAGTGTCTGGAACGACAGTCAATGGCTGAAACCAGAGCTGAATGAATGAACGAATGAGCAGCATATTAACTACCCTTTGACACTGTAACAAATGACCACAAAATTCAGAGCTTAAAACAACACAAACGT